AGCAGCCAGGACTCGAAGCTCGTTTTTTGGTATTTCCGACAAAGAACGACTGAGCCACTCCTTGCCCTGTGAAACAGCTCCTAAGCGAAGTTCTTCCAATTTGGCAGCCGATGCCTCGTCCACCTACAGCATCCGACACACTGCCACCACAAAACAACAATCATCCTACAACATCGCACCATGTGACAAAAACATGCAACTTTCTTCATAATCTTTTTCTGCCCCACCGGACCTGCGTTGGAGGTGCCAAGACTTCCAGCAATCGAGCGCGCAGCTCTCCAACCGCAGGCCACTTGTTGTCCGATCCACGGCCAACATTCCGGGCATTTGCCATTTTGCGAAGCTCCATTACGGAAATTTCTGCCAGGGCATCCTGGAGCCATTCACGACCCCTGGTCACAGCACTGCTACACAGCTCCTGCAACCGATTTTCCACGGCATTGGACGACGCGGACGACGCGGTCGCATGCTCCATTCGCACGGACATTCCCTTCAGCAAATGAAACAGCGACCACAAAACGTCCACAGACGTCACGGGTGCGCGACTTGAACCAAACATTTTGCATTCAGAAATTCCGAGACATGCATATCTGTTCGCTAATCCCTAATATTTTTCCTAATATTTAATGCTAATCTTCATGCTCACACTGACCGAAACGCTATACTTCACTATGTCTGCAAACGTTTGCAACAGATCTCGATGCCATGACATGCTTGATTTCAAAACAATGCCATGACATGCTTGATTTCAAAACAAAAAGTTTGAGTTCAGGACCATACTCTGTCATTGAGCGACACTCGTCCAAACAACAGCGTCGTTGTGTGGTCTCAACCTTGGTGTAGCGCGCACCATCGAAAGCAGTTGTATTGCTGTAGTGAACGACACAATCAATTGAAATGTCTACACGTGCTCAAGCATCATCACTCTCCCTTCAACTAAACGAACCGAGCTCCACACGTCCTAGCACAGATGCACTAGCAAGCATTTTCACCCTCAATCTCTGACAGTTCCATGGCGTGCGGTAAAACGACATACAAAAGCTTTTACACACAAACACTTTTACACATGGTGCTTTTACACAAACACTCTTTGACACACAGACGCTTTGACACACAAAAGCCTTTACACACAAACGCTTTTACACACAGACGCTTTTACACTCAGACGCTTTTACACACAAAAGCTTTTACACACAAACGGTTTTACACACAGACGCTTTTACACGCAGACGCTTTTACACGCAGATGCTTTTTACACACGCACACACGCTTTCACACACAGACGGTTTTACACACAGACACTTTTACACACAGACGCTTTTACACACAGACGCTTTTACACGCAGATGCTTTTTACACACGCACACACGCTTTCACACACAAACGCTTTTACACACAGACGCTTCACGGACACTTCAAGACAAAGACGCTTTTACACACAGACACTTTTACACACACGCTTATACACATAGAGGCGTTTACACACAGACACTTTTACACAAACGAAAGCGTCCATCGCAATTTTTCCTCAGTTTTTGACGTCCAACGTCCATTTCGTGCGAAAGGGTTGCGATTGACCAAGTAAAATCGCAATTTTTCCTCAGTTGTTGACGTCCAACGTCCATTTCGTGCGAAAGGGTTGCGATTGACCAAGTAAAATCGCAATTTTTCCTCAGTTTTTGACGTCCAACGTCCATTTCGTGCGTAAGGGTTGCGATTGACTAAGTAAACTCGCAATTTTTCCTCAGTTTTTGACGTCCAACGTCCATTTCGTGCGAAAGGGTTGCCGGGGACGCTTCAAAGTCGCAATTTTTCATCGGTTTTTGACGTCCAACGTCCATTTCGTGCGAAAGCGTTGCGATGGACACCTCAAAGTCGCAATTTTTCCTCAGTTTTTGACGTCCATTTCGTGCGAAAGGGTTGCGATGGACACTTCAAAATCGCAATTTTACCTAGGTTTTGGACGTCCAACGTCCATTTCGTGCGAAAGGGTTGCGTTTCGTGGCGCTCCGGCGGCACCGCCCCCGCCTTAAGAGAGAATAGAAAGAAGAGCGAGAGGAGATCTGCAGATGTGAAGGTGTGAAGATGTAGATCTGCAGATGTGAGGGTGTGAAGATGTAGATCTGCAGATGTGAGGGTGTGAAGATGTAGATCTGCAGGTGTGAGGGTGTGAAGATGTAGATCTGCAGATGTATGAAGATGTAGATCTGCAGATGTATGAAGATGTAGATCTGCAGATGTGAGGGTGTGAAGATGTCGATCAGCAGGTGTGAGGATGTGAAGATGTAGTTCTGCAGGTGTGAGGGTGTGAAGATGTAAATCAGCAGATGTGAGGGTGTGAAGATGTAGATCAGCAGGTGTGAGGGTGTGAAGATGTAGATCAGCAGGTGTGAGGGTGTGAAGATGTAGATCTGCAGATGTGAGGGTGTGAAGATGTAGATCAGCAGATGTGAAGGTGTGAAGATGTAGATCTGCAGGTGTGAAGGTGTGAAGATGTAGATCTGCAGGTGTGAAGGTGTGAAGATGTAGATCAGCAGGTGTGAGGGTGTGAAGATGTAGATCAGCAGATGTGAGGGTGTGAAGATCTAGATCTGCAGGTGTCAAGGTGTGAAGATGTAGTATAACGGCTGCTTTTTTACGAAGAACCCTTCGCAGGCGCTCTCGGGAAAAACGCATTTCGTGCGAGACTTCCTTCAAAACTCCATCGGCAACTCATCCACCAGCACCACTTGCAATCCCATTTACATTGCGTGAACGATCCTACAGTTGCAAATCACAATGGAATTCTGTCGACCGCACATGCACGAAAAACACTTGAAACCCCATTTACAATGCGGAACCGATCCGAGAATGATCCGACCATGATCCGAGATGATCCGACCACACACACGAGACCGTCCTCGCACCCGTCGCACCCGCAGGGTAGATCATCGACGTTCGGGGGACGGACCTTTGTAATGGAAAAACACATGGTTTTCGTGCTCTGCTATCTATCTCTCAAAAACTCATTGCGTTCGAGACTTCCTTCAAAACTCCATCGCAATCATCCACCAGCACACTTGCAATCCCATTTACATTGCGGGAAACGATCCTACAGTTGCAATCACAATGGAATTCTGTCGACCGCCACATGCACGAAAAACACTTAACCCCTTTACAATGCGGAACCATCCGAGAAGGATCCGACCACACACGAGACCGTCTCGCACCCGTCGCACATAACCGCAGAGTAGATCATCGACTTTCGGGGACGACTTTGTATGGAAAAACAACAGGGTTTTCGTGCATCTTTCCGTGCGAGAAACTTGCTTCAAAACTCCATCGGCAACTCATCCACCAGCACCACTTGCAATCCCATTTACATTGCGTGAACGATCCTACAGTTGCAAATCACAATGGAATTCTGTCGACCGCACATGCACGAAAAACACTTGAAACCCCATTTACACTGCGGAACCGATCCGAGAAGGATCCGAGAATGATCCGACCATGATCCGAGAATGATCCGACCACACACGAGACCGTCTCGCACCCGTCGCACCGCAGAGGTAGATCATCGACGTTCGGGGACGGACTTAGGAAAAACATAGGGTTTCGTGCATCTGCTATCTCTCAAAAACGCATTTCGTGCGAGACTTCCTTCAAAACTCCATCGGCAACTCATCCACCAGCACCACTTGCAATCCCATTTACATTGCGTGAATGATCCTACAGTTGCAAATCACAATGGAATTCTGTCGGCCGCACATGCACGAAAAACACTTGAAACCCCATTTACAATGCGGAACCGATCCGAGAATGATCCGACCATGATCCGACCACACACGAGACCGTCTCGCACCCGTCGCACCGCAGAGGTAGATCATCGGCGTTCGGGGACGGACTTTGTATGGAAAAACACAGGGTTTCGTGCATCTACTATCTCTCAAAAACGCATTTCGTGCGAGACTTCCTTCAAAACTCCATCGGCAACTCATCCACCAGCACCACTTGCAATCCCATTTACATTGCGGGAACGATCCTACAGTTGCAAATCACAATGGAATTCTGTCGACCGCACATGCACGAAAAACATTTGAAACCCCATTTACAATGTGGAACCGATCCGAGAATGATCCGACCATGATCCGAGAATGATCCGACCACACACGAGACCGTCTCGCACCCGTCGCACCGCAGAGGTAGATCATCGACGTTCGGGGACGGACTCTGTATGGAAAAACACAGGGTTTCGTGCATCTGCTATCTCTCAAAAACGCATTTCGTGCGAGACTTCCTTCAAAACTCCATCGGCAACTCATCCACCAGCACCACTTGCAATCCCATTTACATTGCGGGAACAATTTCTTTGACTAACTCGTTCCCTAACGAACTCTTTCTTTGCTAACTCTTTCTTTGCTCTTTCTTTGACTAACTCTTTCTTTGACTACCTCATATATCCTGAATAACTCTTTCTTTGACTAACTCTTTCCCTCACTAACTCTTTCTTTGACTAACTCTTTCCCTCACTAACTCTTTCTTTGACTAACTCTTTCCCTCACTAACTCTTTCTTTGACTAACTCTTTCCCTGACTAACTGTTTCTTTGCTAACTCTTTCTTTGACTAACTCTTTCCCTCACTAACTCTTTCTTTGACTAACGCTTTCCCTGACTGACTGCTTCTCTTTAGCCCAAACTTTTCTTTCACCTCTAACTTCTTTCCCTGATCTAACTCCTTTCTTTGCTAACCTCTATTCTTTAGACTACCTCTTCCTCACGACTCTTCTTTAAGACAACTCTCCCTGACTAACTGTTTCTTTGACTAACTCTTTCTTTGACTAACTCTTTCTTTGACTAACTCTTTCTTTGACTAACTCTTTCTTTGACTAACGCTTTCCCTGACTCTAAAAGTCCGTAACACGGAAGTTTCTCCCCCTAAACTTCCTTTGATAATAATACTCTCTAATTAGGATGTGATCGTTGGAAATCGTTGGTGGTTGTTCCCCTGGGTCCATGCCCTGTGAGGTTGTCCTTGGCTACAGAGGTAGTGGACAACACCCAAACTGGGATGCATTGCCTGAAGTTTGGATCTGGCAGCACAGAGTTGAAGATGATGCAGCAGGTCAGGGGAAGGTAACATGTCCATGTCCAGGATATGCCAAAAAATCCGCCCACACCGCTTTGGCGGTGAAGGCGTGCTTATTGGGGGGCAAAACAGCAACACTAAATGCTCAATGACATTTGTTAATATAGCAGTCGCTATATCAGCTTTAGCTGGGGGTGGGGGGGCCAAAAACGGTTTCGCACCGAGACCAGAATACGGTGGTGTTTTCGACATTTTTCGAGGATTTTTGGGTGTCTGAGCGCAAGAGGGTATTGAAATGGAATTTTGGGTCATTTTGGTAGCTTGCCGGCAATGGAAAAACGGCCAAAAATGAAAAAAAACATTGTACATAGCAAGATTTTGCAGGGTTTTTGGATGCCAGAGCATTGAAAACACTGCAAAAACAAGTGTTTTGGACTGACGTTATAGCAAAAAACGTGTAAATTACCGTATGCTTGACTGGAAGCATTACAAAAACACTGTCAAAAGCAAATGTTTTGGAAGGATTTACTGCCTTTATGGCAAAAAACGTGTAAATTACCGTCTGTTTGACTGGAAACATTGGAAAAACACTGTCAAAAACAATGTTTTGGAAGGATTTCTTATATATATGTTGGAGTTGGCTACCGGCATTGGAACATGGAAAATTGAAGAAAACACTGTAAATAGCGGTATTTTCAACGGTTGGGGAGATAAGGGAATTGGAAGCATTGTCGAACATGATGTTTTCGACCGGTTTTATGGCGACAAAAGCGTAAAGTACCGTGCTTTGAAGGAAACCATTGCAAAAACATGGAAACACATTCAAAGAACACGGGATTTGGGGGACTATCTAGGCGTTGTTGTCTAGCTATTTGAAATTCCGCAGCTTGGAGAGCCTCCAAGGGAGGGAAAAGTGAAAAATTCCATAGCTTGGGAAGCTGTCACGGCGGGGAAAAGTGAAAATTCCCTAGCTTGGGAAGCCCCCACGGGGGGGAAAAGTGAAAATTCCCTAGCTTGGGGAGCCCCCACAGGGGGAAAAAGTGAAAATTCCCTAGCTTGGGGAGCCCCCACAGGGGGGGAAAAGTGAAAATTCCCTAGCTTGGGGAGCCCCCACGGGGGGGAAAAGTGAAAATTCCCTAGCTTGGGGAGCCCCCACGGGGGGGGGAAGTGAAAATTCTTAGCTTGGGGAGCCCCCACGGGGGAAAACCACCCTTATTCCCTCTCACGGACCGAAATAAACCTGCGGTGTGGGCGGCCACCCCACGCGAAGCGGGGTGAATAATAAAAAAATATGCAGGAAAAGTAGCTGAGATTTGAGTTTGAAGATGTTTGAAGGTGACTGCAACCAGCCTCCCAGTGTTGTAAGATTTGTAAGTGTCCCACGTTGTCTCAGTTTTGCCTTGGTCGCCGCCACCCCCAGCCAGACGAAATGCGGGAGCACAATCATGGCTGAGTTTCATGGTGTCACAGATAGCTCTTCGCGTTTGGTGAAGCTGGTGGAAGGTAGCAACCAGTGTCTACAAGAGGCCATGCTGGGACGCTTGGATTTAGCGTGTTTTTTCTTGGAGAAAACGGACAAAAGAACCAAAAGAATGAACGGTTCTGGAAGATCTGGAAGTGCCCCAAGTTCTTTCCAGACAGAGGGCATTCAGCTCTTAATGATCAGAGCTAAGGAGATCTTCCGATCGGTATCCACAGCACCTGTTCATCAGGCGCCACAGCACAGCAAATCCCCATGGAAGATTTGCCAGGAATGTTATGGTGAACTCGCTTTGCATCAGTTTGTGGGGCAGATTTTTGTTGCTTTTTCAGTTGCTGCTGTTAGGGCTCGCTGCTGCTAGTGGTGATAGATAGCAGAGATATTGATATTGCTCTTTTGTTTTGTTCCTGGTGATGTTGCCTTTCCCTTGATAATTTTGCCAGAGATGGACAGCAAGAAATGGCCAAGAATTCGCAGCTTCCCAAATGCTCAGGAGAATCCATACGAAAGACCACGAGCAAGCAGGTCATCGTTTGAGTCCGTCACTGATTGACTGCTGGGGCCGCGGTGCCATCGGCAAAGTGGAGATGATGCATCTCTTCAACACCAACCGGGCTCAAACTGCTGCTTACGTTGGCCGTGTCCGTGTGCCAGGGTTAATCGTAGCTCAAGGCAACAACCAGTGGCACAGGCTCTCAGCAAACACTGGATTTGGATGGAGAAAGTCCGATTATCCAGATGCCACAGAGACACGCATGTGTCTGACATATAGCGATCATGCCACCAGCAGTGATGGGAACTTGAAAGTGCGCCTCAGAAGAGTCGACGGTGCTGGAGGAACTGTGTATTTTACGGACTCCTTTGCGATAACTTGGTCTGGCACAGGCCTGTTTCACCATGTTTGTGGTCCGTGGCATGCTATTTCGACGATCAGCTGTGGCTACGGTTGGACTGATACATGTCAAGTGGATTGGCTACATAGCACCTGGATGAGCATCAAAACCGTGGAGTTGGAGTTTGGCAGCAGCAATCCCAACCATGCCAGGTTCTTTCGTGGGCGTATGGATCTCCCAGTCACTTATGATGGCACGCCAGCAGCCAACACTTGGACATCTATTGGGAATTGGTTTTATTTGGCCACCAACCAATACGATGGCAACTTCGTCCGGATCTGTGTGGTGTTTACGGATTCCTCCACCAGCGGAACATTCTCGGTCCGTCTCAGGAAGGCAGATGGCACGATTTTTTTCACGGACAATTTGGGTAACACGTGGTCAGGCAGCGGGCTGATGCATGCAGAGTGTGGCTCCTGGCATTCCTCTAGCGGTATCTCATGCGGATCCAGCTGGGGCAACACGTGTCAGCTGCAGATGCTGCACACCCAAAATGTGCACACCAAGGTATATGAAGCCGATACTTGGAGAAGTTCAAATCGCTCTTCCAATCTCTTCCCAAATTCTGTAGAATTGGCGATATTACGGGCGCTTCATTTTTGGTACTATCGTCATGAAAAGAATCTTCAGTTGCCTTCGGGTACTAAATTATCGAAGGAAGTTTAGAAGTCAAACTTCCGACAATATGGACAGATGAAAAGCAGAGCAGGGCAGAGGCAGAGAGAAGAGGAAGATTAGCAGAGAGAAGATCAGAAGAGAAAGAGTAAGAAGAAAGAAGATGCAGATGCGCGAAAAGGTAGGAAATTCGCGAAACACTGTGTTTTTCCCAATGATTTGTGGCTCCGGAGGGTCGAAAAGTAGGCTCGCTAAAGCGGCGGGTGCGGAGCCCGCTGGCCAGATGAGAGATGAAAAAATGCACGCCCCGTTGTCTCTGCGCCGGCCGAAGACACATTTCGAGCCAAAATTGTGCAAAAAACACCCAGCTATCCGCACCACTTGTAGAAGTTGAGATGTCGAAAAAAAAAAGCTGCCACGCCGTTGCCTGGCTGCCGCGATCGCAAGCACATTCCAAGTCAAAATGCTATACAAAACACACCAGGGTCGGACCACATTTGGAAGTTGCGATGTCGAAAAGTTGCGCACGCGTTGTCGGCGCCGAAGCAACATTTCCAAGTCAAAATTGTACAAAAAAACCATTGTCGGACCACTTTTGGAAGTTGCGATGTCGAAAAAGTGCACGCCGTTGTGGCGCGAAGCACATTTTCAAGTCAAAAGTGTTAAAAACTGACGGTCTCGGACCACTTTTGGAGGTTCAGATGTCGAAAAAGTGTCGAAAAAGTGCACGCCGTTGTGGCGCGAAGCACATTTCGAAGGCAAAAGTGTAAAAAACTGAGGGTTTTGAGCCTTTTTTGACGTGAAGATGTCGAAAAAGTAGACACTGATTAACTTAACTAACTTGACTAACTTAACTAACTTCACAAACTTAACTACCCTAACTTCGACGACAACAGCAACAGCAACAACAACAACAACACCAACCACAACAACTACAACTACAACAACTACAACTACAACAATAATTGTTATTGTAGAAATCGCCATAGAGGAGTAGATGGAGAGAATAGATAGAATAGATAGGTAGATAGGTAGATAGGTAGATAGGTAGAAGGATAGAGTAAGGTAAGATAGTAGATAGTTAGCATCGGTAGATAGGTAGCATAGGTAGATGCGTAGTATGGGTAGATAGATATAGATAAGATTAGATAGAAGCAGAGCATCGATTAGATAGATAGAATAGATAGATCGCGATATGATAGATAGATGGATAGATCGAGATAGATAAATAGATAGACAGATAGATAGGTAGATTGATAGATAGAAAGATAGATAGATAGATAGAAAGATAGATAGATAGATAGGTAGATAGATAGATAGATACATAGATACATAGATAGATAGATAGATAGTCAGAGAAAGAGAGAGAAAGAGAGAGAAAGAGAGGAGACCTCATGCACCTTTCGGTCCATCAGTGGCTTCGCTCTGCCATCCCTGATTCACAACCACCAACCTCTCCTATAGGTCTCCTATTTTTGAAACTTCCGCCACCGCCTTGTGCGGTACTACTGGTATAATTATATATTTAAATTTGGTCGATTCTGATTGGTACATGTCAGCGCGGTCCGGGGAGGGGGAGAGAGAGAGAGAGAGAGAGAGTTCCTCCCACTTTGACGGTTTCCCAGCATATTGGCTCAAGACTAAGGATTTGGAGTTCAAGAGTCACTCAGCTCAATTTTTCCCGCCCTCAGAAAAGTCAATGAGAGGGAGGTAGCTTTGAGGTTTAAGAGAAAATGCAGTCACAGGGCATCAGAATTTGTTCATCCACGGTTTTACCTGTAGATGCCAGAGATATTGGTAGCACAGAAAGAGGAGTCTTGCAAATTTAGGGGCAGAGCGTCATAGAAGGGCTTTTGGTTCTGTGTTGGCAGGTGATTCTACATCGACCCCAACTGCATATTTGGGCAGAATGAAGCTGGATGCATACGCATCAACAACGGCAACCAGCAATTGGTTCAGAATCAGTTGCTTGGACCTAGCTCTTGAGGCTAGCCGCGATTCAAAGAGGGCACGCTCAAGTTCTATCCCCAATTCATCTTGATTCATTCAGATTTGCCCTGTTGACCGTGCTGTTTGTGAATCCAAATGTTGTTGGGGCTAAATAAGTTAAGTATTATTTAATACTAGTATTTTTATTCCCGAGAGCGTCTGAGCGAAGGGTTCTTCCAATATACCGCCGGACTGAAAGTTAGAATGCCCATTTGGTGGCGGCAAGTGGATTTAGATATCCATTTCCGCGTACCGCGTGAGAAATTTGGGAGGCATTCTAACCCTATTTATTTAGTCCTGAAACCCCTAAACAAATCCGGGACGGCATTCTAACCCTATTTATGTAGTCCTGAAGACCCCAACACTCCAAAATATCATCTTCTCATTCCTTTATTATTTAAGGGCTGCCGCCCCTGCCGCCGACCCCGGAAGAATGGTCATGTGGTTATATGACAGTTATATCATATATCAGATGATGGTCTGAGTTTTTTTTGACAATTGGTTGATAGTTTCCAGCCTTTAGCTACTTTAGGGACTCAACTAGCCAGCATCATGTTTTGTCGATCTTGGAGTAGTTTAGATAAAGAGTAAATGTTAATCAGCACAGGCTTCCCAAGTCTCAGTTACAGTTACAATTTGTTAAGGTTGTCTGTGTGTTTTCCGATTCAGTTGATTCTGCTCCACGGCGGTACGACCATTTATAAGCGGCTTCTCGATATTCAGAGTCTCAGCCTGCCAGGGGGCCCAAGGGATCCCATGGTCGGCTGCATTTGCGTCGTTTTGGCAAGGCGAATCTGGCGCGAGCCAGGTGTTTATAGTCCTATGATTGCATATGCTGCTGCCTGCTGCTGCCTGCCTGCTGCTCCTTGCTGCTGCCTGCTGCTGGTGCTGCTGCTGGTGGCTGCTGCTGCTGCTGTGGTGCTGCTGCAATCAAACAGCCTCCAAAGCAAGAAACAAACAGCCAGACACCCTTTTCGAAACACATCCGAAACAGCAAAACACCACCTAATTTCGTGCCCAAAACGTAGCAAAGGAACCCCAAAAAAGTGCCTAACGTCACTTCTGAAACCTTACTTAAAATTGCAACTTTGCCGCTGCCTGCCGCTGCCTGCTGCTGCTTGCTGCTGCCTGCTGCTGCCTGCTGCTGCCTGCTGCTGCCTGCTGCTGCCTCTGCTGGTGTCTGCTGCTGCCTGCTGCTGCCTGCTGCTGCCTCTGCTGGTGTCTGCTGCTGCCTGCTGCTGCCTGCTGCTGCCTGCAGCTGCCTGCGGCTGCCTGCGGCTGCCTGCCTGCTGCTCCCTGCTGCTGGTGCTGCTGCTGGTGGCTGCTGCTGCTGCTGCTGTGGTGCTGCTGCAATCAAACAGCCTCCAAAGCAAGAAACAAACAGCCAGACACCCTTTTCGAAACATATCCGAAACAGCAAAACACCACCTAATGTCGTGCCCAAAACGTAGCAAAGGAACCCCAAAAAAGGGCCTAACGTCACTTCTGAAACCCTACTTAAAATTGCAACTTTGCCGCTGCCTGCCGCTGCCTGCTGCTGCTTGCTGCTGCCTGCTGCTGCCTCTGCTGGTGTCTGCTGCTGCCTGCTGCTGCCTGCTGCTGCCTGTTGCTGCCTGCTGCTACCTGCTGCTGCCTGCTGCTGCCTGCCTGCTGCTCCTTGCTGCTGCCTGCTGCTGGTGCTGCTGCTGGTGGCTGCTGCTGCTGCTGTGGTGCTGCTGCAATCAAACAGCCTCCAGAGCAAGAAACAAACAGCCAGACACCCTTTTCGAAACACATCCGAAACAGCAAAACACCACCTAATTTCGTACCCAAAACGTAGCAAAGGAACCCCAAAAAAAAGGCCCTAACGTCACTTCTGAAACCCTACTTAAAATTGCAACTTTGCCGCTGCCTGCCGCTGCCTGCTGCTGCCTGCTGCTGCTGGTGTCTGCTGCTGCCTGCTGCTGCCTGCTGCTGCCTGCTGCTGCCTGCTGCTACCTGCTGCT